CTGCTCTAAAAGGAATAGTATCTAGAGATTATAGAGTGAATTTGTGACAGAGTTGGTGGTATAGTGATGATCATTACAATAGAGAGAATAATTTTTAATTTATCCCAACTGTTAGCATCTTTTTATGGTATCTGTGTTGTCAGCTCTATATTACTTGTTATGCTGTGAAGTCCTTTGGTCTGGGCCTTTTACATTGCCTCTCCCTTCTCTGTCTAATGTAGTCTATTCTGAGTCTCCCTGAGGATCCTGAAGATACTTTGAAGGTTCCTGATGACTCAGTCTTCCTGGACAGTGGAGGAGACTCCCTGAAGTCCACGTGGCTCCTCAATGAGATTGAAAAACTCACTGGCACGTCCATACCTGGGCTCCTGGAGCATATTCTCAGCAGTTCTATCTTAGAGGTTTACAACCACATCATTCAGACCGTGTTTACACACAAGGACCTGAAAGTCAACAACAGTCATGCTCTGAAGAGGAAACTCAGTGACATGGATCCAGAGGAAGCCAGCGGCAAGCCTGAACATCTGGAGTCTGCCTTGCCCCTTACCCACAACAGTGAGACGAATGCTTTGATTGCTCTGAGCAGAGGGAGTCAGCTTTTGTCTCTGGGTACTTGGAGGCTTTTAACTAAGTTAGGACACTGCCCTTCAGTCTGTCCTCTGGATTTAATTCCACAGACTAACACACAAGTACTAAAAGACTTAAGTCCTCCACCTCCTGATGAAAAGTTGAAAAAACCACCAGTTTCCCAGGAGGTTGAGACGATGGTGTTGCGAGAGAGGTGGAGGTCAGACACAGGCAAATGTGTAGATGCTTCCCCCCTGCTTGTGATAGCAGCTGCCAATCAGTCATCCACAACTGTGTATATCGGCTCCCACTCCCACAGAGTGAAGGCAGTTGACCTTTACTCTGGGAAGATGAGATGGGAACAGCTTTTGGGAGATCGAATTGAATCCTCCGCATGCGTGTCTAAGTGTGGAAACTTTATTGTAGTGGGTAAGTTTCTGAATCTGAGGTTTGTAGAATTAAATTGAACACACACACACACACACACACACACACACACACACACACA